ACAGCCCCAGGCAAGGAGCCTGTAACCAGAGCCCCACCACCAGAGCTGAAGCCCTTGGGCTTTGGCATCAGGCCCAGGCAGGCTAAGCCAGCCCAGGCGACCCATTTAAAATGAGGTCCCAACCCACTTTGCGGTCCTGACCCAGAGTTTGAGAACTGCTGGGTTACCAGAAAGTCAAAGTGAGTAAAGAAGAGGGACTGGTGGATCTAGAATTGGTTAAGGCATCTAGCAGTCTGTAGGTATTCCAGATTCTTGTGGTATGTCATAACTTGTGGTATCAGGCTTCTCATAGGAGGTGGTGCTCACTCACTGAAAGTCATCTTGATAGCCAGTAGCTCCTTGACCCAAATATTGTAATTTTTCCCTGTGGGGGTTAGCTTCCAAGAATGAAAGGGACAAAGGTATAGTTGGTTGTGGGGGCTCGCATGTTGAGATAAAACTGCACTGGTGGCAAAATTTGAGGCATCAACCTCAATTATAAATGGTTCAGTGGGATTTGGGTGAATCAGGATGGAAGCTGGGGTGAATGCCCTCTTCCGTCAATCAAAGGCCAACTGAATTTCCATGGACCAGGAAAAGTGGGCTCCATTTTGTAGGAGTGCTGTTATGGGTACAACCAGACAAAAGAATCCTTTAATAAATTGCTTGTATAAATTGGGAAACACCAGGAATTGCTGCACTTGGTGCGCATCCTTGGATGCGGCAAAGCCAGGTATCACCACTCATTGGTGAGTCCCTCAGGTGAGACAATATATCCCAATTTCACTGTGTCCTCATTGAAGTCACATTTCTTGAATTTCGTGTGGAGGTAGTTTTGGCAGTATCTGTCCAAGACAGTACACACAGGATAATTGTGGAGGAACTGACTTTCAGGGAAAATGAAGAAGTCATCTAGGTAAACAAGAATTTGGTCCAGCATGCCCCTAACGATGTCGTTTATGAAATGCTGGAAGATTGCCAGGTGCTGCATACCCCAAATGGCATGACCAAATACTTGAAATGGCCACATCTGGTATAGAAGGTGGTTTTCCATTCATCTTCTTTGTGGCTCCTCACCAGATTATAATCTCTATGGAGGTCCAACTTTGTGAAGACTTTGGCAGAGCAGAGTAAAGAATACTGATTCAAATCTCAGTAGTCTTTCTTTGCCACTAAGAAAATCAAGGCCCCCACTGGGGATATGGAGGGGCAAATGAACCTTTTCTGTAGGTTTTCATAGAATCATATCATAGAATCAGAAGGGACCTTGAGAGGTCATCTAGTCCAGTCCCCTGCACTCAAGGCACGACTAAGTATTATTTAGACCATCCCTGCCAAGCGTTTGTCCAACCTGCTCTTAAAAATCCCCAATGATGGAGATTCCACAACCTCCCTAGGCAATTTATTCCAGTGCTTAACCACCCTAACAGTTAGGAAGCTTTTTCCTAATGTCCAACTTAAACTGCCCTTGCTGCAATTTAAGCCCATTGCTTCTTGTCATAGCCTGAGAGGTTAACAAGAACAAATTTTCACCATCCTCTTTGTAAAAACCTTTTATGTATTTGAAAACTGTTGTGTCCCTCCTCAGTCTTCTCTCCTCCAGAATAAACAAACCCATTTTTTTCCATTTTCCCTCAGAGGTCATGTTTGCTAGACATGTAATCATTTCCCCCCCCTTCTCTGGACTTTCTTCAGTTTGTCCCCATCTTTCCTGAAATGTGGTGTCCAGAACTGGACACAATAGTCTAGTTAAGGCTGTATCACTGCAGAGTAGAGCAAAAGAATTACTTCTTGTGTCTTGCTTACGACATTCCTGCTAATATATCTCAGAATGATGTTTGCTTTTTTGCAACAGTGTTATACGGTTGACTCAGATTTAACTTGTGATCCACTCTGACCCCTTTCAGCAGTACTCTTTCCTAGGCAGTCATTTCCCATTTTGGATTCTCTCTTTGTGTCTTTGAATTCTTTGGCTGACTGAGTAAGCCATAAAAGGTTGCTGATCCCGGGTTGGCTCTCAGGAAACAAGATTTTCAATAAAATGTGGAGTCAAAACTTACCATGCCTGACTGCTGGTGCATGAGCGAGTTATGACGCAGGAGATGCCAAGGACAACTGATAAATGCAGCGCACAAGTTAGCCCAAACTGAATGATTTATCAGTGGCCTCAAAGTGTAGTTACCTGTAAGGGAGCTCTCTGGTGGGTGTATGATACCAATGAAAGAAGTGACTATCTACGGACTCCACTAACCTATGGGAGTGTGTCAGGAGTCCTTTCACTGGGTGGAGATATGGTATGCTCGGTCAAACTCCAGATCCATGAAATTGCCTGAGGCACTTGAGTCCACCAGAATCTCTAGGTTGGTGTAGGGCATGGCAGAGTGCCAGAGTTGGAGAGGGAGTTGGAGAGGTGTTGAATGCTGATTGGCCATTCCCAGGGTACTTGTGGACAAGCATTAGTGCACACTTATGGGGAGAGGGAAGGGTGCCAGTTTAGCCTGGACCCCCCCACTGGGGCTGGGGCTTGGGATTTCTTGACCAGGGCACAGATCAGACCTTGGCAGGGCAACTTGATGCAAAATCCCCATAATATAGGTACAAGCCCAATGCCCTGCATCAATTTGTCTCCACATTAGAAATGCAGGGCTGGACTTGATCAACTTCAATTTGTTTAGGTGACAGAGAAGTGACTGATAATGGGTGTGGTATCAGCAGAGCTGGCAAGGTCCGGAAGAACAATGTATTTTTCTTGGTGGGATTTGGTCAGGCAGTCATCAGTCATGCTGCATAGGTCAACTAAAGCATCCAGGCTGGATTACACCCATGCCAGTTCATCTTTAATATCATTGTTTAGGCTGAGACAGAAATGATAACATTGGGTGGCCTTGTTCTACTAGATGTCTTTACCACAAATTGGAACTTTGCTGCATATTTACTAACTGGCTGGTGTTCAAATGAAATGCCCAGTTGTCTAAATGCTTACTCATTGTGGGAGTTTTCCAACTGTATGCTTGCAACTTGGGTCACTGAAGATCACCACCAATCCTTAAATTGTCCTAGAAGTGAGCTTGATTTTTCCCAGAAGTGGAGATGCCCAAGCCAGGGCCTCCCCTTCTAAGCAGACTGATATTTAGTCCCAATTAGACGTGGTCAGTAGTGTACCACTGAGGACGTACCATAAATAGGAGCTGACGCTGATTTAGGAAACCATGAAACTTGTTGTGATTGCCACTGAAGTTGTCAGGCAAGGGGAGCTTTGTATAGTGGGAGTGGGGATAAGAACTGAAGTCAGTGAGGCTTGAGCTTGCAGGGCCACCTTCTGTGCCTGCAGGGCAGCAACCTGGGCATGCACAGTCCATAGGGCCCCCAGGGCTTGTCTACACTACCTGCCGGATCGGTGAGCAGCGATCAATCCAGCGGGGACCGATTTATCACATCTAGTATAGATGCAATAAATCGACCACTGAGCATTCTCCCGTCGACTCCAGTACTGCACCAGAATGAGAAGTGCAAGTGGAGTTGACGGGAGAGTGTCAGCTGTCGACTTACTGCAGTGAAGACACCGTAACTGAAGTTGCGTATATTAGCTCAACCCTGCACAGGAGTGTAGACAAGCTCCCACTATCTCCAGCAGAGAGATATTGACCTTTATAGGATCCTTACTCACTGTATGCTCTACTTCCCTTATTGTTTACAGGGTTTGGTTCTGCTCAGACTGTCAATGAATGGAGAAGGAGTTAGGTCTAGTGGTTAGAACAGGAGTCAGTAGCAAGGACAGGAACTGGAGTCAGAGGTCAGGAATTGGAGCCCAGGGTCAGAAGCAGGTTGGAATTTACAGAACTATGATTTCCACACAGGGTACCGTTGCAATCATATTCACTTATTGCAATCACTGAAACAATAATGCTATTAGTATGTCTGAGTAGTTCTATTAAAATTACAAAAAAAATCTCCATAGGTAAAGCTGCCTGGTAATATTAGCTAGTTTTTCTTTGCAAGACCTTCCAATAACTTTCTCTTCTTAACCTTCCTTATGCTAGTGATTCTTGACTTAAAGTATTGTAGGCATTTCCCCCACAAGGTGATTTACAGTATGCTTTAAATACAGGTAAAATAAATGATATTTGTAAGTCACGTTAGAGAAAAAATATAGGACATGCTCATTCCGATGTCAAGGTGATGAAATTCTTGATATAAAAATAAACTAAAAGTAGGACATAATACTGTTCTTTCAAGCAGGTCATTCCATGCTTCTAATATACCCTTTGCCTCTGTATAGCACTAATGCCTTAGTCCATTTAAAAGGATGTCTTCTCTAAAATCTAAGGGCTAGATCCTCAGCTCATGTACATCAACATAGCTCAATGGTATTTAGGCACAGGCTTAGGTGCTTACTAAACTGAAATCTCAGCCCCCAGTCCTGCAATCAGGTCCTTATGTCCACTCAGTAGGACTCTGCTCAGGAACTGATTGCAGGATTATGAATTGCAATCACAGCTCCATAATTTAGATACAGAAAGTTTTAGTTCACTGTTTTTTTCTCCAGGGTTTATGTATAACATACTATTATGACTGTTTCCCCAACAATCTTAGCGAACTCGATACTTAAACTTTTCTATATAGCAGAACTACGAATGCCCACTATATTTACCTATGCAGTCACTGCACTACCACTACATAATTTATTCTATACCATAAATACAAAAAATACTGTACGAGATCAAGTTCTTGTCAAGGTAAGTATTTCCTTTAGTTGAATTTGCAGTCCCCATCTAGAGCACAGGCATTATACATGCAAACGTCCTGTCATTTTTTTAGGGTAACCAAGACATCATTTTCTAAATTAAACTAGATCCATAAATTGTGTTAATATAATATGGTATGTTTACTTTGTTGTGGGGAGAGGGAGAAAAAGTGCTTGTAGTTTATGGAGAGCAACAATATTGTATACTAGAGCTTTTTGTGCTATCACTGCAGCTAAGATTAATGAGCACAGAACAAATGGTTGACATATAACCTACCCATGGGAGTTCCAACGCCATAACCTTTTGAGTCTATCAGGCCTCCAATCTGTGTTAGGTTACAGTTCCGCTGTGTGACAAACTCAATGGTTGTGGATTCCATTAGAAAGGCATAATCAGAGGTGAGTACACGCTGGATGCCTTCTTCATTACTTTTGACAAGCACCGACTGCCTCCTGCTACTCATAAAGGCCCACATCTTGTCATAAGTGGAGATTTTTGATTTCTGAAACATAAAATATTAAAATACAGTATTAACATGAATATGTTTATGACAAAGTAGGAAAAGCCCCAATTAACATAGTATTTCTAGGAATAACTGTATTCATTTAATACTTTAGATCTATATAGGGTACAGATTTCCAAAAGAGCTCTGCTCCCATTTAGACACCAACATGATTAGCCAAACCTTCAAAAACGCTGATCACATTGGGTGCTTGATTCTTTGAAAATCAAGGGTGACGTCCTGGCACCATTGAAGTTAATGGACAAAACTTTCATTGACTTCAATAGGGCCAAGATTTCACCCCTGACTGTAAGTCTCACAAACAATACTTTGGGTTGCTTGAAAGTCTGACACTTATTTTAATGCCTAAACAGTTGCAGAGCTCTTTTGAAAAACTGACTGACAGCATCTGACATCTTCAAGGATCTCAAAACACTTCATAAGTGACAGTATATGAATACAAGCCCACGGAAATTAAATCACTTATGGGATGGAGGGTGGCAACCTTCTGGTCCACAGTACACTGTAACAGCAATCTGAGGAGGGGAACTCCTAGCCAAAGATATCATTACAAACTTTATTGATAATACTGTTTTGTTATGTGTCAAAGAACTACGCCTAACATGCCCCTTATTTGTTGCTTCATTCACTGAGTATTCACAGGAAACTGTATAGTTCAGTGGAGATAGGACTGTGAGACAGCAGACCAGAGTTCTATACCCTGTTCTATGTGACCTTAGACAAGTCACTTTGCCTTTTGACACCACATTGCCACTTCTGTAAAATAAGACTGATAATATGTACCATACTTTGTTAAAGCACTTGAGATTTAGGGATGAAAACCACTATATATGTATTATACATATATATGATTCCTATTTTATTGCATTGTGTTACCCTCACCTTCATCCAAGAATGTCCCAGACCAAGATTATCATTAGGAGATGTGCTGTAATGCTAACGCCTAGCCACTAAGACAAGAGTAGAAATCTGATATAGCAGACTAGTATAACCAGATTCTTCAGGGAGTCTCTGATTTGTTAATATTAACCCCAAGCATAAGTCCATTTTCAGCTCTGGGGGAGACACTGGCAAAGATTGACACTGCAGTTCTTTCTGAAGTTCAGCTAACTGGCAGCTGTAACTTCTGCCCCAACAAGAATTAGTGGTGTATGTGGAATAGAAAGGGGAACATTTATTCTGAATAAGGATGAGTTTGTATCCCTGCTGAGATAGAATCCAAGGCTTATTTCAGTCTGCTTGGGGACTTCAGAACGTCCATCATTCAAGTATGTTAACTAATCCAGTAGTCAACGCTAATCAAATTGACGAGTTTGACATCCAGCTGCAAGAGCTCACTGATACTGTGCCAAAACACGCTATGGTGTTGACTGCAGAGGGTTTCAGTGTGAAAGTTGAGAAAAAGGTTGTGGATAAGAATACGATGTGGAGACATGGAACAGAAGAAACAAACAGTCTCCTGTTCATTGATTTCTGGTCTGAGAATCAAATGATTCTTACAAACACGTTATATCAATATTACAATGTAAGAGAATGCACTTGAGTCCTGTATATCAGCTCAATGGGAATCAAAATGATTATATCATACAGAAAAGAGGGAACACCAATGTTTTTCAATTACTGCAAAACTCTCCAAATTTCCCATATCACCATTTAATTCTTTCATCATTCAAGCTTTACCCTAAGTGCACAAAACAATATTTTTTTGCCACTGTGGAATAAACTGAACAACACTGAAAATTGGTACAGAGAATAACTTTGGCAAACCATTAGATACATTGGTGTTGTGTGAGCTAGGGGGAGAGAAGCCAAATAAAGAATAGGAGAGAATAAAGTGAAAGACAATCACTAGGATGAAAATGTGTCAAAAATTGGAACTGTTGCTCTCTATTGAAGCATTACAGCACGTAGAAATATACGAGAGACTGAACAATGGAGAGAATACACAGATAACTTCTACACCAGTGGCTCTCAACTCTGGTCCACCGCTTGTTCAGGGAAAGCCCGTGGCGCGCCGGGCCAGTTTGTTTACCTGCCGCATCCGCAGGTTCGGCCCGTTGCAGCTCCCACTGGCCGTGGTTCGCCGCTCCAGGCCAATGGGAGCTGCAAAAAGCGGTGTGGGCCGAGGAACTTGCTGGCAGCCCTTCCTGCAGCCCCCATTGGCCTGGAACGGAGAACCACGGCCAGCGGGAGCTGCAATTGTCCGAACCTGAGGACACGGCAGGTAAACAAACTGGTCCACCACTTGTTCAGGGAAAGTCCCCAGTGTGCCGGGCCAGAGTTGAGAACCACTGTTCTACACAAAGATGGACAAGATGACGGACTTAATCAGCTGGGACAAAGTCCCAGCCACATCTGAAAAGGAACTAATACCTCTAAGGAATAAGGTAGTGAATAAAATTAAAGCAGAACCAAGTTTCTGGCTAAGATGGTGTAACATGCTGCTGGGCATACCCAGAGTTGTGAGCCACTGTTACCTCTCTGCCTCAACAAGGGTGAGTTTTGCTGGCAATTAGACTCTGTGTCAACTCCCTGCCACACCAGTCTGTCTTCCTCACCAGCAAACTCCTCAGGCAAACTCCAACTGCCAGCCCAAACCTTGCCTAGCAGGTAAAAATCAGTGCACTCCAGCCCCTGAGCTCCTCAGAGATATTTCTCTGCATAGCCCCTACCACTGTGTATTCAAAGAAGATGTTAAATTTGCTGCTCTGTTAAAGAATCAGTACATAGTAATTTAGGTTTCAGAGTAGCAGCCGTGTTAGTCTGTATTCGCAAAAAGAAAGAGAGGACTTGTGGCACCTTAGAGACTAACCAATTTATTTGAGCATAAACTTTCGTGAGCTACAGCTCAGTTCATCGGATGCATGAAGTGAGCTGTAGCTCACGAAAGCTTATGCTCAAATAAATTGGTTAGTCTCTAAGGTGCCACAAGTACTCCTTTTCTTTTTACATAGTAATTTATTAATTTAACTGAGGTGACTATGCCTGATACAGCACTGAATTGGTTTAAAGTGAAAGTAAAGCAAGTGTATTTTTAAAAAGAGAAGGATTAAATGATACCAAGTAACAGGGATAAAGGTAGACATGGTTACAAAAATATAAAACTTAAAACACACATTTAAAAGTCTAAAACTTAATCTAGGAAGACACAATCTTTGTTCAAGATGGATTCTTTTACCCCCAGTTTTTCCTTTTTCATTTTAGATAAAATTGCTTGGTTTCTTTGTCTCCTAAAGTGAAAGATCAAGGAAGAGTCTCTCTCTGTTCCTCATATCCCCAAAAGGATTGACTTTGTTTTACAAGTCTGGAAGGTCTCCTGGGGATTCAGTCTCCTGTGTCATTCTGGGCTGCAGGAGCTATGTTAATTCTCTGTCTCTTTAGTTCAGGATCAGGATAATTCCCATTGATTTAGCTGAATGGCTTTGTTTACTGCTAATATGTAAATTGGGGTGAACCTACATTCCTTTGTCTAGGACAAAGCTGTTTATCGCCTTTACCTAGGTTAGGCTTTTTGATCTTAAATATATCCTAGTAACATCATACACAGGGAATTCAGAACTTCACATGCAACATTAACACATGCATTTTACAATGCTTTCCGATGATACCTCACAAGGCATATTTTGTACAAATATTGTAGTAGTGTGTAGGATGAATACAGAGGTGCCTAGAGTCACAGATGGCATGCTTGCTGGAATCATTAAAACAATCTTATGCATGTATCAACATTTTATGCATGATTTGTGAGGTTACATGGAAGATAGAGCAATATCTTGGTAATTAGTGAAAGACTCTGTTCACCTATCTACGAAAATACGTAGCTCTGAATATAGTGTGAATTAGAGAATTCATTTCTCATGCAGACGAAACAAATAATAAAAAAAATAAAAAACCTGTACTGTTTCTATTCATCCTAGAAAAGATAAAGATCAGAGTTTAAGTGATGCCAGAAAAATAGACAGCCTACTAATGAACACTAGATCATATATTTACTGTACTTTAATATTGTAAGGCAGAGACTTGGGATGTGTTTTATGCACAACAGGGAACCTTTTGACACAGACAAAATATCTTTTGATTCAAACAAATCAATTTAGTGAACTAAAATTTAGTGAACTACTGTATAGTCTCTAGTATGACTGGAATCCAAAAGCCAGAACAATCAAAATCATCACAGGCTGGTTTGACATGGAACTAAGGAGAATGACACTACTTATTGCTTCTGGTGGTTATGATTGTGACATTCGTATTGATGGAAGCAGATTCTGCAATTTATATTATGCTTCCATTTTTACTTATTTGTGAGCAAATAGGATGAATTGACTTACAGGTTCCATTGGTGAAGTACATTGTGTTGTTTTTCATTAGCACACCATTTCTGACCTAACTGAAAATCACTGTATCCACTGGAAGTGATGTCTAGTTGGGATAACCTGTGGTGACAAGATTTATTATGCTTGTGCTCCCATAGTAATGCAGGAGATATTCAGTGACTAATAAAACCAGCTGTCTACACTTTGTGAAATTTGCATTACACTGGAATACAAAAGAGAAGACGGCAATGGAAACATTGCAGCCCATCCCAACAAGCAGGAAAATTGGAAATGAAGACATTAAGAAAATCAAGAAGTTCAGCTTCCTGGTGCATGGAGATGGCAGCTATCACAATGACATCCAGAGGCAGCTGCCAATGGTCTATTCAGTACTCATAAATTAAAGATCATTTGAAGACAACAGTGTGTGTGTCAGAGATCATGAACATAAGAATGGCGAAGCCTCTGAGTTAGCCTATTGCTATGCACATCTACGAAGGTTGGAAATGGGAGGCAGTGTCTTTACTAATGCAATGTTCCTGCTATATACTGAAGTGTTAGAGAGAAAAGACAAATATTGCTGCACAGCAACAGTATGGAATGAAACAGGTGAGAAGGGGGAACTATGGGGACGCTGTATGATCACAAGGGAGAATGCCAAAATAA